TTCCACAGGGAAATTTACAATTCACGTGAGCGCATTCTTTTCCTTTCCGATTCGTTTCCGATGCGATGATCTGCACATGTCACCGCAACAATTATTTCCAAGAAGCTTACCGAAGAAGAGGCTAAGCTTTGAATGAAGTTAGATTCAAGATTGCCATTTTTCAACGGCAATGACTGACCGCATCTAATCTTAGCACTGTGAGACATCGTCCACTCAAATCCTTAGGAAGAAGCGGATATATTGATATCTCAAAGGCAGATAAAGAGATTGTCGCAGTTATTCTTGGTAGAACGTATTATGAAAATAAGGCCTTTGAATGTTTCAACATTGGACCACATGAACCTATAGCGGGATCTGAGTGGGGTGTTGTCCTCAATGGAATCGACTCTCAAACCAACGTCTATATATGAGCTACCAAAAAGAAGTCCGGTCGGCCTAGCTTTTTTTTCAATCCCAACAGAGACCAAGCACTTAGATTTTGCTGCCTAGCAAAAATCCGCGAAGAAAGGATCCCAATAAGGCCATTCGTGGACACCGGTTTACAAACTCTCAAAGTGTCTAAACCGAATTAATCAGCCGCTCCAACCGAGCTGACAAGCAATACTAGAGAGCCATCCGTTTTTTTTGAGAAACTCAAACAGGAGACCTTACACAACATTGAGACACTCGTCAGGCTTGATGTACAGTCCCTACATAACAGTGCATCCCCCGCATGAAGCCTTGCAATTTCGTATTATCTGTTAGAAAATGACACATTTTTAGTCATCAGCAGTGATTTGTCACTAAACTGGTATCGGGTATCGAGCAATGCCTACGCTGGACTTACTTCGGATAAAAACAGGTCTCATATACAAACAGTTGGAGTTGTCACGATCTCCACAATAGCAACAACTATAGCACAAATTCTCACTGGGCACCTACGAAGGCAGACGGTGAATAGGTTCCCATATCTGTCACGAATTTGGTGGCGTTGTGCTGCTGACACTTTTTTGATCATGCACCAAAGACTTTCCGGCGACTTGTTACACTTCCTGAACGCCCTGTAATTGGTCAAGGAAACTCAGCAAACTC